GAAGAAATAAAAACCAATGATTGCCTCTGTCGATGGAGCCAACACCAAACACTGATTTCTTGAGGAAGTATCGACGTTTTCAAAGTATCCTGTGTATTACCATAATTTCAAATTGCGAATGAAATATTTTTTTATTAACGTACTCGTCCTACTAAAGGGAGCTTCATTGCTGAACAAAATTTTTTTGTGAATATCGAGATCCGTGGGAATGGTGAACCAAAGTCAGTTTCAATCAAATGACAGCTGTCGAAAAGACCGAAAAAAGCTTATTAGTTACGCCCAACTCAATCTTAGCCACCTCCTGCCTAACCGACCGAGGGATGCGCCTGAACTAAAAGCGGAAACTCCAACCGACTAGGAACCGAAAACCGTTAGCAGTCTGGACAATCATAAGCCCGAGACCGATCGCGGAAAGTCGCTACAAATTCGCTCATTTGTATGTAATACAATTTTGTTCAAATTCCAGATAATTAATTATAATTTCAATCACATATGGTTGTAACTAACTTAATACATGGGACCCACAGTGCATTACAAATCAGGCTAAGACAATGGTTGTTTAATAAAGTCATGAGAAAATGCAACATTACAAGCCAACAATTGCTAATACATATTTATATGGAAATTCGCGTTTTCAAACTAAGATGCACACATACACACATACGAGTATGTCATAAAATATTTATTAGTGAATAAAATATAAATAAACAAATCGCATCAAAGTCTCCTACTCAAATTACAACTGATTCATTCATTGTGCTAACACGCGTGCGCGCCTGCTTGCTAACTGCAAAACTTGGTGGCGAACACATGTTTAGCCAACGACGACTGCACAGAGTAGAGCAATTGGATTGCTGGCCGGCTGACTGAGAAACCAAAGCAATTACATGATTGCTTGTATGCACATACGTATGTATGTATGTGTATACTCGTATCAAGACAGTCCACCCGGCGAGCGTTTTGCTCGAATTTTGCCGGTTTCTGGCAGCGGAGCTCGTTTCGATTTCATTGGATTTGATTTGGAGGTAGTACGGCTGACTGGTTCGGTCTGTTGGAAAAACTAGCCACTAGACGTTCTGGATATTTTCTATACATTCGTGTGTATGTGCGCGCGTGCAGCTAGCCAACCGGCAGCGTTACCGGCTAGCGCGCATTGCCTTATTCTATGTTATTTACCACATGCGTGTATGTATATATGTATACATATATAAATGTATATTCAGGTGATGGCAGTTTGTATTGGCTTTGGCGTCGGTGGTCTTATGTCTTATTTGCTTATAGAGTTGTTGCGACGCGCTTTGAAGTTGATGCGACGCGTCGCGCTGTCACTACCGTTGAAGTAGCAAAACTTGGCTGCGACGCTGTCACCACGATTGGGCATTTGACATGAATCAATGCCTCGAAATCGTTTCTATGCATACATTTATATATATATGTATGTATGTACATATGTTTATATGTTGATTTACATGAAAAACTAGAACGCATCTTGAGGTTAGTGCTGCGTTGGTTCAACGCCTTACAAGCCCAAGCTCGACCACGGCGATTTGCCAGCCAAACGACGGATTCGATTTCAATTCAGTTTTACTTACTTGGAGTGAATCTTGTTTATGCGTCCATATGTATATAGTACATGTAAATAGATGTGTATACATGTAAGTGGGTACCCACAGTGGGCCAACGGTTGTTGCTTCGTCGTCGTCGTCGTCGTCGTCATCCACCGCGTGTGAGTGGGTGTAGCACGACTGTTTCACGACTCGTCGCGTCATATGCACCGCCAACGGATGGCTTTGTTCGATATGCGCCATTAATGTCTGAAATTATTTGTAATTTTTCATGACACATTTCTTTGGTGATTTTGGTTATGTACATACCATTCATACACAAACATACATATGCTGGACGTTTTGGAGATGTTTTTGTTTTTCACTACGTTTATCGTGCTTAACTGTATACAGTCTGAATTTCGTTTTTAAAAGTTATGCGCTGACAAAGATGTCATTTGCTAATTATTTTGTTCGCTCTGATGAATGAGTTGGGATCTTGGTTAGTTCATATTTGGTTTGGTGTATTAATGAGGCTATGGCTGGTGTGGGTAGACTTTTGTGATATTCTCGACATACATATGTTCATACATACATATGTAAATGGTGATTTTTTATATGAGTGGCTTACAATGAGGTAATACTTTTCCCGGAGTTGGTCCTATCGATAGCTCTTACTTGATTTTTACTCAGTTTGGTTTGCTATTTCATATTGAACAGACTTAGTCCGGAACAACGTCTGCAAATCGTGCAAATTTATTACGAAAATAACAGTTCCGTTCATGCTATCCAACGCACCCCGCCTCCAACATAGTCAAGACATCGTCCCATGGTGCATCTAAGACGCTATTGCCACTGAACTATTTTTTGATTGAGTTATACGAAGTCGCTTATCATAGCATATGAATTCGAAACAATTGTCGATTTGATATTCGGTGAGAAAACAGGTCGAAAAATTGGGACTCTTAGTCGGAATTTAATGGCAAACCATTAAGTTAATACTGGCCATATAACCACATGTCGAAAAAGCACGTGACCGAATTCATTTGATTTACAGAAACTTTCTCTTGGCAACTTCGAGAAAATAGGTGCACTCTCGCTCAGTTATGATACGCTACTTGGAAGAAAAATTTACTCATATTAATATTAGGCCTAGTAAAAAGTAATCCCTTACTTGTGTATCACATGGTTATACAATAATTATCTATTTAATGTTAAATATGCATCGGTTTGCCCGGTCACCTTTTGATATTTAGAAGGTAATGTTAATGATAATGTTTCTCTCCTTGCCCTTGCCTTCTCTCGGGCGCAATTCTTCTCCAACCAAATAACTCGTCATAGTAAAAAGAAATAATGTTGTGCAAGGTTCGAACTATGTGTGGTCTGACCTTGTCCTGCTGAAACACAATTCCCCTCCTGTTGGCTAAAGCTAGGCACTCCTAGGCGAATCAGCACCGATTCCCAGTTCATGAGGTTGTTGCTTGTTAACTCATATGGCAACCATATATCGAGCTTCTTTGTGTATTAAGCCCATTTTCAAGTAGTTTTAAACTGTTTTTTGTGCAATGTTTATCCTCAGAGCAATTGAGACAGTGCTCTCATGACAGCCGGATGCGACGACATTCACAACAATTGACTGACTTGCGGTTTCGCCTTCATCGAGGTAAAATTCTGGAATATAACGTATTTGCTCTTTTCTGGTGCCCATACCTGACATGTACCCAAACTCTACCCCATAACTTTTTTTTAGTACAAAATAACATCTTTCTTACATTTAACGTAATCCAATCGTACTTATAGAACGCGAGGTACAGATCACTGAAGCCATCTATTTCAAAAGTAATGGATTATTACATTTTACCTTTGAGCTAATATATGTCGATCTATGTATGTCAATAAGTAATATTTTAAGTAACTTTGTATAACAAATTTTAATATTCGAATATCCAGCAGATTTTGGCCGCTTTGAGAACTTCAGCACCGTTTACAAAAACCGAAATAAATATAACCAAAATAACTGAACAGAGGTTCGTGCTTAGCTTACAGTTTAGTGGCGATATTTTATTATCTACGTAAATTGGAAAACAGTACCAGATTTTGTCCTGCAGAACTCGCAGCTGCTGTTGACCATGAAGTCACCGTCACACGCCCCAAACAATTACCTTTTTAAATAATTTCGGTAATTGACTAAATTTGATTAAATCGTGCATATGAATGTGTGTGTGTGTGTGTGTGTATGTTTTTGAGTTAGTAGTCGTATATGCTGACGCTAACTTTTAACCTCAGACTAAATACAATAATAATTCATAAAAATTGACGTCATCTCCCAAATCACGACGATACGGTCGCCGCTTGAGAAGCTTGGGAATGGTGTGAAAGAGAATGGCGATTTTCTTTTAGTTGCAAAAAGATTAGTATAACAAAGCAAATTCTAATTTCAAAGGCAATTCCCTCATACTGTTAGTATTAATTTATTTATGCGATTGTAGTTAAATTCTGTTGGCTAGAAAATTAAAACAAGTTTAATAGCCATAAAAATGTACATATGTATGAATGCCAAAGCAGAAGAAAAAAGCTATTAAAATTGGTAAAAATGGTAAAAATAAAACTACTAAGCCGCGTAGCCACTAATGATGCTAACTTCAGCTTTCGTGTGCTTAATTTTTTTGCCAGCAATTTGGGTAGCTTAGTGGCTCATTGGCTGTATTTGCTGACCATTTGGCGGTGGTGTTAATAATGCTTCAGCAGAGTCGCGTCGCTAAATGAGTTTTTGTTTTGTTTTGTTTCGTTATTGTCACAGTTTGAGTGAGCATTTTTGTCGCTCAATTTTATTTATTTATATATCTTCAATATTTTTTTTGGTTAACGATCGTTTTTAAGCCGCAGTGCGGCGTGCCCAGACGCCCAAGCGAGATTTCAAATCAACCGAACACCGAGCGTCAACACACTTTGCTCGCCACATGCTAAGCAAGCAAACACAATTTGGCAACACACTGCGCTGCTCTCTTCGATTGGTGATCGACGCCAATCGGTTAACGCCGACTATTGTGGGCTCAAGCGGTATCTTGGAAAACACTTTTGGAAACATGTTCCGAGTCTTACATATTCGGTCAAAACAACATCAGCCGCTACACTAACACAAACACAAAAGCATACAACAATTTTTTTTATTATAAACTACTTGAATGTATGTGTGTGAAACCCTACCAAAATGTAAGCATGTGTAGGTAACTTATTTACCTTCTCAGCCGCTGCACACCGGCTCGATCACCCGGTAAGCGCTGCGCTCGCATGCCTCATCAACTTGTCTGCGCTCAGACTGCTGTCGCGCTGCCTTTGGGTGCGGAGCGGTGCACGGCCGAGTGAAGCTAAATGAAGTGGCGCACTGAGCACGCGATCGGTTGGGGCATTTCAAGAGCGTTCAAGTCGCTAACGCTTTTTCGCTTTCATTCATCTTGACTTTGAATCAGTCTGTCTTTGGCGCTCGATCGAAACGTACGAAAAAGTTCTTCGTTGGTAAAACTCAGAAATTAATAAAATATAATCAACTCAAAACCGAAAAAAATTAAAGTAAAACACAGTAGTCACAGCACAAAAGCAAGAAGAAAAAAAGAAGTGCATACAATAAAAAAAAGAAAAAATAAAAATAAAATAAATAAGTAAAAGGACTGTGCAGCTTATCGCGTGTATAGCAAAAAAAAAAAGAAGAAACTTAGATTAAAGATAATAATAATAAAATTGAAAAAAAGAAACAAACGAAAGAATATCACAGATAATCAAATACTTGAAAAAGGTTCGTGCCATTCTATACAATTAGCCACATCTATTTGGCATACCGTGAAAAGCACAATTTCAGTGTTATTATCTAGTTGCATACACTCGCGATTCTGTGCTCTCTGTGTGTTTTTCAACCCACTGACGCTTTCCTTCATTACGCCCCACACGCAGCGATCCAAGCGAAGCTGAAAACACTCGCCTGCTAAAAAGGTCAGTATAACTGCCTACATTGCGCAGGTCTGTTTGTAAATATCTATGTTTGTATGTATGTTCTAAAGGCGAAATGTAGGTGTTAAAAAGTGTCTGAACCACCAACTCAGTTGCACACACACAGAAGCATACAAGCATACAAGCAAGCAAATATAATTAATATCCCCTATTTTTTATTGGCTTGACGTGTCACCTCGCAGATTCATCTCGTCCATAACTGGCGATGATGTGAATCTCTACATCAGTACATACAGCTAATCATTTGACTTTGGTGACCAATTACGGTATGACATTCGCAAAATATTGTCTAAGCGTCTGTATTCCAGAGAAGTGAGACTTTTTTGCACAGCGAATTTGCCATTTTTAAACAAACATCCATTTTTGCGGCTGTAAAAAGTTCGAATTTTACGATTGCGATTGAGGATAGCAACTGTTTGATTTTGGCTTAATGACCATAGTAGTCGCGCGATATTGAGTTTAGATTTTTTTCTCTTACTATTTCTAATTTATGGGAGTTTAAATTTTCATTTATGGCAGCAGCTGCCAAATTAAAGGAAAAGCTCAACTGAAGTGAGTTTGTTTTAGGAGTTGAAATTTGGAGGTTTGCAAAAATATTTAAATAAATCAACTCTTTAATATTTTCTAAAAAAAATGCAAAAAATGTATCTAAGTGATAATTCTGAGAAAAAAGGCTTCAAGTATATATAAATGGAAAGGGTCAAGAGGAAGAGTTGGATATTTTCATGAAACCCTTATTTTATGATTTCTTTGCCAGTTTATTTTATTAAAGGGTGTTTTTTTTAGACAAGTGGCTTTTGAAAAGAAATAAAATGCAAAAAAATTTGATGTTATGGCCAAAAATTTAGCTATATTATAAATGTAAACGTTCGCCATATTGTTCTAAAAATGATTTAGGGCTAGTGGTAGCTGAGGCTGGTCCGATTTTTAGCGGCGATCGGGGCCATACGTCAGCAGTAATGCGCCGAATATGCTAAGGCGTTAAACGTCTCCGGCTTATGTGCGTAAACAAGTGACTTCATAATATTGTTCATAAAATTTAGAATGAAAAAAGTCAATAATAATGACTCTACAATATACCGTTCTCTACTGACTGTAACATTATAATCGGCTGCATTTTTGAAGAAATATGGACAAATTACTACTTCTACCTGTAGAGCACATATGATTTTTAATGATGTAACGGCTTCTCAATGTTGTTGTTGTTGTTGTAACCACAAATTATTCCCCGAATAGGTTTTCGGGGATAAAAATCCGGGTCGTTCCAGTATGAAGACCCGACTGTCGCGGGAAGTATTGGATTTTAGTCGCCTCTTACGACAGGCATGCCTTACCACGGGTAAATTCTTGAGCCCCTAACCCGCAGGGGTGCGGCATCTTAATAATAGCTTGTGGCTTATCAGCACACTAAATGCAACAATTTTGTTTATTAATAAACCCATTCAACAAAAACTGAGCTTCATCGCCAAATAAAATTTTATTGCGAAAATCGGGGTCGGTGAACATCTCGTTTTGGGCCTATACATCGAGCGTGCGACGTTTCCATTTATGCACGAATGCCAAAACCCTTCCACATACTCGTTCACACACTTAATGGACGCTGCTCAAACTGTTGTTCGTGATTATTATCTCGTCTTTTTCGATACTCTTCTCCACAGTATCAAAAGCGTCTTGGGTGCGTATTGTCACTAGAGTGAACATGGTGCGAGACCGATTTACATACATATAGATTTGACATAACACGCACAGAGTGTAGGATGACTCCATCTCACTGGATAGGATCCTTCTTCTCTCAATTTTGCTCCTCCTTATGCGTACCCCTGACGATTATGCTTGATATAATAGTAGTGTAACATCTTTATTACATGCCTACATTCTGGTTTAACCCTGTTTTCTTTGCATACCATCCGGGGATTTTAATTAAAATGTTTCAAAATTGCTGTTTTTCGATCTGACAGCGTTTGAAAATGCTCTCTTGCACTAGAATAACCCAGCAGCATAAGGTGAGGTATTGGAAGCGTAGAGCAGAAGTGGAAACTATGTGTGGCTGAATTCATTCACACATTAAATTAAAACGGTGATGTTTTAGCAAATATAAATATTCCATTCCAAATACCGTTTCAAGTAGGGGAAGTGTCCATGTGTGTTTTATATCTTTCATTGTAACCTTACCAAGTGAGCGATTATTTCAGATACCCACATTTTTATCGCGTATTAGAGAATAATATTGCATATTTTATCATTTGTATTTGATTACAAAGGAATTTCGTATACTTTTTTTTAATTTTAATGTTTTGTTTTCGAATATATAATTATATTTTTTGAGATTACAATTGAAACTATCACTAATAGTTTGAGTTTGTTTTTGCCCTTTGAGAATCGAACTGCATACGCTTCGCTTCGCGTCAAATGGTAAGGCCTTACCAAGTTTTCTAGAGAGATGCATCACAACCCTCTGTTCCTGCTTTGTTGTGTTCAACACAGCCATAAAGCGTACACATTTACATATTTTCATGCACTTAATTCCCTTCTTATTACTACGCGAATTTAGTTTAACACGAAAAAATTCTCCTTTTACACGAATTGTTTTGTTTTTACACGCTTTTCAATATTCGAGATTTTTTCGACGTCATTTAGTTTGATTTTACGAGTTGAGGAGAAAAGACGTATTGGTTGTAGTGCTCATTTAAAAAGTTATAAGTAAAGTAAATTAAAGCTATATACGTGCTATATGTCTATATGGTTTATTGACTGATGAGCAGGTAAACTTTAAATATTTTTCATACCTTTGTATGATTAACATGAGTGGAATATTGGTACCTCTAGCACAATGCCGGTTGACACACCTGCAACAAAAGCGAAGAGGAAGGCGATCAGCTTAGATACTAAAATCAATATTTTAGATCAACTTGCAACCGGACAAGGTACAACGGCTGTGGGAAAGAAGTTTGGAATACATGAAGCTACCATAAGAACGATTAAGAAAAGTGAAGCTGCGATCCGAGAATCGGTGTGCTCTGGCACGGAAATAAGTGTTAAATCAACGTCATACATTAGAGATGCTCTCAAAGAAAAGATGGAAAAAGCTTTGGTACTGTGGATTGAAGATAAATCACAAAAACGAATGCCAGTAGATGGAATTGCCATCAAGCAAACTGCATTAAGAATCTATAAACGCGTGAAAGAATTGCAGTCAAGCACTACAGTTCAGTCAAAACAACGTGAATTCACTGCAAGTACCGGTTGGATGACAGGTTTTCTTAAACGCCATGCTCTTCGCAATCTAAAAATGAAGGGAGAAACTGAATTAGTAGATGCTAAACAATTGCCTAAATTAAATAGGAACTCCATGGAATGTGGAGAATTCAATAATCCATTATATGACAATATAGACGAATTTTTAATTAATCAAAGACTAAGAGAAAATGAATTTATAGATCTCACCCTTGAGCATGATCGTGAGAGCGAACAGGGTGATAATGTTGAAGAAGATCCGCTCGATTTAAATGCAACTCTAATTAAAGAAGGTCTTGATCTTGCCAAACGATTGGGCAATCATTTCGGCCAACACGATCCTGACGAGGAAAGAGCGACAAAATTTCAATGTGAATTGAACGCGTTAATGTCTTCTTACCGGGAACTTTATAACGGTTTATCACGAAATCAAACACAATCTTTGACGACTGATTGTCTGCCAAAAAATACTGAATTATTAACACGGCGAAGTATAGATGATAGTTCAAAACCTTTAATTTCACAACCTGCGAAACGTATGCGTTTATTCACCGAGAATGAAAATTCATAATTTTTTTATATTAGTGAATTCCAGATTTTATTTTATTTTTCTAAGCGTTTAATATTCTTACAATTTATTTAATGAATTAAAATGTGAAATGAATTTGTCAAATGAATTAAGCTTGAATAAGCAGAAATATGACTCACAATATTCATTAGTCTTGTAATATTAATACTGATTATAGTTTTAATCAAGTAATCATTAATATTGTTGAGCACAAATGAAAAAATAAAAAAAAAAAATTTTCGAGGTTTATTTACACAAATCTACATTGAGCTCTTACGTATAAAACTATATTAAAATTAAAAATATTTATCCGTATATTTGTTTTCTATGATCTCCAGAACTAACTGGCAATTATATTGAAAACTTCCAGTTCATACATATATAATAAATACAATAAAAGTTTAATATATTCACAAATCAACCGAAGTTAATTTATAATTTAGTCGAATTTGTTTAGAAAGTAATTTTATTTTCATTAAAATGCTAATAACGCATACACAAGCAAAAATTGATAACAACGGTGCAAATGTTTTTACATTCTTTTTTAAGCTTCACATGTCAAACTAGTAGATTTTCTGTTTAGTCTTTCCCATAAATTGCCATAGAGAAATATGTCTGAGTTAATTAGTCTGACACACAGGATGTTTTACCAAGGGATACAAGGTGTGTTCGAGATATATGGTGAATTTTGTGTTTTTTTCAAAAATTATTTATTTATTCATGAATATCTATTTTGTCCTCTTCAAAGTAATCCCCATGAGATATTATACACTTGTGGTCTCATTAATGTGTTGTTTTTGGTCAAAAAATCACGCACAAGCAACGATATGTGAGCAGGGGCGTTATCGCCAATTTATGTTCTTCCACAAATCCGGTCGTTTCTGGCGGATTGCTTAGCGCAAATTACGCATAACTTGCAGGTAATATTCCTTTTTGACCGTTCTACCCTGTTGCAAGAACTCATGATGCACTACGACCCTGCAATTAATTTTTTCGTCTGTTGTTGAAGTGCTCGGGCGTCTTGGACGCTCTTCGTCGTTCACATCTTCTCGGCCTTCTGAGAACATTCGGAATGCATCCGCGCACTTAATTTCGTTTTTCACACAAAATTTGATACAGATTCTTTGATCCATTTTTTTGAATAGGTTAAAATCGAAGATCGTCCATTCTGCACAATCCGGCGATTGGAGACTAAGACCACCCAATCTACAAAAAGAGGGCCATACAATTCAATTGTCGTTAGATTAGCCTCTCCTATCGAGGATGCAGTGTGAAAGACTAAAACCCACTGCCTACGAAGTGATTGGACCTTATCAGTGTGAGTTCAGACCTTGCAATCGCACCATTGTCTATATGTAATATTTGTCATGCACCAAATCTTAAAAAAAAACTCCTTGGAAAAGGATCGATACAAACTACCTTTACAACTAATTTAAATTGCTCTTCAAAAACTCGAAAAGGAGCCATCTCTACACCGAGTGTCGGATTTTGGTTTATCCGCGAAATTTATACAAACTGACGCTGAACAACACTAACAGCCTGATCAGAATCGGAAAAAACCCCTCCGAGCCGATCTACGTTTATACGAAATAGTCTATGGTACTGTCTATCATGTGAATTTTTTCATTTATTATTTGATGGAAATTATACGAACTGCAGAATTCAACAAAGGAGATACAAACTTCTTTTAAAGCTTACAATTGTCGCTGTTCGTTGTGTTTTCTTCAGATTGGATAAGGAAACAAGGCGAATGGGTTTGTTAGTGAACGATGACCAATAGCCATACGTTAGCGTCTTGGCTCTTATGTCAAAAAACTTCACTAAATCTAAATCATAATGATCAATTGAAATGACCTTATTTTGCTTTGTTGGAGAGTCTAAAACGTATTTTTAATTTTTAAATGAAATTGAACTGCATTTCATACCGAATTTAACGAACTCACTTTATTATACTTTATTATGGTTCAAGATCTCATATGATTTGGAAGTTCACCCTGCTTTTGATATCTTTGGCTAGGTTTTTTTTTTGAACTAGTTTCATGAGAGTTGAAATGAAGCAGTTCATCTACATATTTTTAGACTCACTCCTCATTTTTGTGGCTGGTCACTTATGTATGTACAATATGTCAGATTTTAGAAAGTGAATTTGGTGTTTAATTATTCTACCTATGTTAATACATACTTATATAAATATTTAAATTAGTTTTGCTGTTTTATTTGTTTTTGGCGAGAGCAACAGGTCCGCTTATTTCCGCTAAATATTTTAGCACTTTGTACAACGATTAGACCGACGTACAGGCGATTTGCAAATTCGTTTCAATTCACAGCTGTGAAGAAAAGCTAAAACACGAGCTAAAAGTGTGGAATTATAAGAAAAAAATGTTCTCCCAGTTTTATTTCGAACATAAAAGCATCAGCATTTTTTTATTTTTTTATAATTTTTTTTGTTAAGAATATGTTGCGTATTGAAAGTGTCTTGAAATTAATTTATTTTGAATTATTTAAAGGTAAAATATCGAAATTTAAAATAAAATACAGAAATTAAAGAAACAATTGTGCCCAGCTGCGAAATAAAAGCCTGAGAGCATTTGTAAAGAGTTTTTTTTAGACATGTAGCTTTCAAGAGGAAATAAAGCGTAAATACATAAATATTAATGTTATGGCCAAGAATTTGACTTTAATATAAAACTAAGGACTTGTCGTCATATTTTAAAAATGACTGACTTGAATAACTTCCAATCGAGAGGCCCAATTTCCGGTCACTTGGGCCATACGCCGAATATTCTCTTCCAATGCGTCAATCGTCTCGCTTTTCTTCGTAGAAAAATCACTGCACAAAAGCTGGACTATTGTCCTGCTGTGTTAAATCGCACAATCTTAGTGGCCACGTCACAACTGTACGACTCGGGATAATGAGCTCTCCAAAAGTTTCCTTCTATAAATTGATTGTGGCCGTCCACATTAGCATTCTCCAATCAAGGTATGAAAAAACTTATTAATTATTGTTCTATAGTATTTTCCATTGGCTGTCACATTGTGGCCGGCTATATTTTTGAAGATCTATGGATCAATCATTCAACCAAAAGTGAATTTCATCGCTGAACAAAATTTTCTTATGAAAATTGGTCATCGAGCGTGCGACGCACTTGAAGGTCGTTTGGCTACTATTCTTGCCCAAGTTGGATCTTGTTACGTCGTAAACCAAGATCATTCCTCAAAATCTTCAATAAAGTGGACGAGCTCACCTCCAATTAGCGTCTTCTTCGATACTCTGCTCCACAGCAGCGATAGCATCTCCGTTGCGTTTCTGAGGACGAGAATTTGTCGGTCTGTTTCTATGGTTCCTGGAAAGCTTTTAACGAAATTTTTTTTTCGGGAATAATATCGTACTAATGATTCGATTTACTTGAATGGTATATAGTTGCTTTTTCGCTTAAGCGAGACAAATCTTCTCTCTGAGAAGTGGATCGAAGACCGAACCATTCGGTATAATCGTATTTATGGTTCGATTCACCTTATTGAAAATCGGTACACAGAGAGCTTTTTGTGAAAAGATTGTATTGTTAGTTCTTGATATTCTTTTCAAAGGGCAGTGAACTGATCTAGTTGAAAAAAAAGCGTATTCATGGTTCAGTTTGGTGAAATTTTTGGACGATACAGCTAAATGGGATACTTGTGCTTAAAGCTTAATATTTGACTTAGATGTTGCTTAATTAGTACTTTTTTTACCGTTCTTCGCAATACCGTTTAGAACAAAATTGAAACAAAGTACATATAGAAAGTCAAAACAATGCATGTATGTATGTAATTTCAATATATTGCAAAATATGATATATATCTAGAGCACATACTAACTTATATATATATAATTTAAATAATTTTTTGTCTTATTAGCATATTGTTTTGGCCTACAAGTCAATTGCATTTTTTGCAATTAGGTCATAATTGTTTTTGTTTTATTCTCTTTTTATTTATTGTTTTTTATTTTTTATTCACCTCACCATTTGTATCCACAATTATTAACAACAATTTGTTACGGAACACTGAGTGTTCGTATTCCGCTTCACACACAAACCCACGCAGATACCGACACATTTACAAATATATGCATTTGTATGTATGAGCATGGTTTAATAACTGTATCTGACACTGAAGTCTGGCTTAATGATGACGTAGGTGTAGGTGGGCTGCGCTGCAGGCTCTGCTGCTGCTGAAGCTTATTCCGCAGTAATTGTTATTATTATTTTTATTATTACAGTTTTGTGCAAACATATGTTTGTATATACAGGAAAATACTTTTACATATCTACAAAATTTATAATGTCGTTCATTTATTCATTATTTATGACAGGTGCCATTATTATATGACCAATTATTTCTCACTTAAATAAAATATAATACATTAATGCAAGCACACGCATATCTGTACATGCATATGTAAGTATGTATGTATGTAAGAAAGATTCTTAAATGCAATTAACACAGTAAAGTTTCTATTAAAACGAATGAAATCAAAATGAAACGTAAAATTGCCGAATAATTTTATTTTCCGTTGACCTCGAAATGACACGAAAATCATCAACAGCGAATGTTAATGTTAAGCACGTACATACATATGTACGTACGTGTATGTACGAGTATGTTCACAAATCAGCGCATCATAGCGGCACAGCAATCCATCAACGAAAGAGACGAACAGGTTTGCGTTGCAGGTTCCGCACTTCACACCGATGGCTTCAACTTGAAGATCTCTTTCAAGCTTCTCTGCCATTGTGACGCTTCGTTCCTTTTTTTTTTAACAAATATTATATGTTCATATGTATGCCAGCGTGTGTGTTGTGCAAATTTATATATTTTTTCTTGTGGATGAGCTTGAAACGAAATTTTTAGAAATTACGTCATTTTGCCAATTGTCCGTCCGTTTGCCTTCTGCCGCTGTTCAAGCCGGACTTTTTTGCATTGAGCGGACCAAAAAAATAAGCAAAAAAAAAAAAACAAAAAAAGAACAATAAGCGAATTAAAATTATTTTAGCAGGTATATACATATCAACATACATAGGTATGTATGTATGTACATTTGTGTATATAAATACAATAAAACGTAACATATGTTTACATACATACATATGTACACAATCGTATTGATGGATTAGATGCAAATCAAAGTCTTATTCACCAAACCAAATAGAAGAAGAAGCAAAAATAAGGAAATAAAGTTCACTTCATTATTATTTGTTGCAGTTTAAAT